CGCCCACCCTGCGCCCCTCCATCCGCTTACATACGCTGTGCCCCCCCCCCCCAAAAAAGCTCACCTGTTCTCAGCCAGGACGTCCTCCAGCCGGTCCTGCGCCGCCAGCAGCGCCTCGTGGGTGCCCTGCAGCTCAGCCATGGCGGACGCCACCTCCCCGCTGAATGCAGCCTGGGCGCAGGGAGATGGAGGGGTGGCGGGATTGCGGGGGGTTGGGAGGAAGCACGGTCGATGCAGAGGCCGGGAAGGCTGGCGCCAGGGCCCTGGCTTATGGGCATGCATCACTCCCATCATACATGCTGATCCTGCCTTTCACACAATTTAAATCATGCCACTGAGATGTGACGCAGCGACCGCAGCAGCAGCGGCAGCAGCAGCGGCAGCGGCAGCGGCAGCAGCGGCGGCAGCGGCGGCGGCAGCGGCGGCGGCGGCGGCAGCAGCAGCAGCAGCATTCTACCATCAGCTAGCCGTCCGTTGTAGGGCACCGCCACCAGCAGCCCCCCAGGAGCTCCGCCCCGCATCCCACCCTCTGCGCGGCCGCACCTGCACGCTGTCGTCCCAGAGCTGCGCAAACGTCCGCCACAGCCCCGCCAGCAGCTGCTCCCGGTGCGCCGCGCCCGCGACCAGCGCGGCCGCCTCGGACTGGAAGCCGGCCGTGTGGCGCTGCAGCAGTCCGTACAGCGCGAGGCACTGCCGCTCGTCCAGTCCGTGGCGCGCCGTCAGGGCCTCCGGGCCAAAGGGGCCGAGCAGCAGCCGCTCCTGGGCCCAGGGGGCCGCGTCTTGGATGGATTGGAGGTGCCAGTCGCCCATGCCGGACGCGAGCGCCTTCTCTGCGGCGCGCGCGAGGTCCTGCGCGCGGGGTGCGCAGGCCGAGGGCAGATGTTTTGTCTAGGGAGTGGCGTTTGCGTGATGCGTGATGGGGGCATGCATCCGCAGGGTTGCGGCGGCGGCGCATGCGTTGCGGCACACCTGGATGGCACTCGGGCGGGCGCCGCAGCTAGGCGCGCCGTGGCCATCCCCCTTCACGCCGCCGCCACCGCTGCCAGGCCGCCGAGGGGAGGCGGCGACCAGACGGCCGGCGGCGTGCGGTCGTGAGCCTTCCAGCGGGGAGGATGCGCCGGGGCGCCCGCTGCCAGGGGTGTTCTGCTGTGCCCCTGTCCGTGTGCCGGCGGCGCCCGTGCTGCCAGGAGCGTACGGGCTGCCTGCCGCTGCCGTTGGCCATGCATCCGCATTGTCGGCTTCTGTGGCAGCTGTTGTTGACGGGCACAGGCCCAGCAGCTCCTGCTCGCTGATCCCCTGGGCCCTGTGCGCCCGCAGCGTCTGGCCTGACATGCGTCCTGCTGTGACGCCTCTCGGCGCAGGAGGGTGCGGCGGTGCCTATGCAGCCGCCGTGGTTGAGCGAAGCAAATTTGATTGTGGCTTTCAAGTCTTACAATTGCTGACACCTATGTCTTTCTTCGCAGGCTCCGCGAGAATCTAGGAATACGGGTCAAGCGAACATGACGAGCGATTGAATATTTACACAATAAAAAACACTTCCATATCCAAGTTCTCGTACAACAAATATCTGACACATGCTGCAACGCGATCAGCCCTCAGATCACTTCGCTTGAATTGTGGTTGAATGCGATCGACAACCTCTTCAAACATTATCAAAAGCTGTATTATGTCTATCTTTGCGACAGGATCGTCGCCCTCCGGCCTGCCATGGAACTGCCACACCGCCTGTTTGACCGCAGTTGACCAACTGCCCCACATCAGGGCAGTCCACATCAGCACAGTTGTGGTGCACAGCGGGCACCGCATGCCGGAGTGAACGGTAGAAATCACCGAATCAACAACAACGCACTGCATGCCCTCTATGCAGGCATGGGGATTCGGAACACAATTTGAAACCAATGTCAAAACCAGCTAGCTGTGGTAAGAATTATTTCAAGTGCATCAGTCAAGGGCACCTGGCCGTCTGCATTTCAATACGGTACCAGTATATGAGGTCGTGCGCCCCATGCCTGTCTTGAAAGGATTTTGGCGACTGCTGGCCACACATTTGAATCGGTTGCCATGATTGCTGGCACGCAGGACAAGTGTACAAACGCACTGTACATAACCATCAGGACAGTGGATGGCTGGTGTAGGTGCTCATGACTATTTGCAGCATGTGCAGGCTCAGCCCCGCGGGGAAACATGAACCGTACCAGCCAAAAATCGAAGGGAAGGCGCACTCGAGGGTTACCCCCTTCATCCATAGGATGTGATGAGTCTCACTACACAAACTACAGCTCACCGGACAACTAATTAGCCCTCTGGCGCCCACACGCTGTGCATGTGCTCACATACAGCACGGTCAACGTGCTGGTCAACTCTGCAGCCAGCTCCGCCTTTAGGAATCTGCGAGCAGCCAGTTGAAACTATATTGAAAAGCCCAGAACTTTGCTTTCTTACAGCCCCGTGTATCTGGACTGGCGTTCCAAAATACAAACAGCGTGAAGGTCGCTTGCTGGGTCGGTCCCCTGCATAAAGCGCGCATCCAAGCAAACATTGCCTTAATCAAACACGTTTCGACGTACAAAGGCGAGCTTTAATCCACCTTTACTCCAATCAACACTCCCTTTCGCCTACTTTTGCACTCGCAGGCTTGCATGCGGGGAAGCCGTGGGGTGCTATCTGCAGAGTCAGCCCTACTCAGTCTTGTATGGTGTTGCAGCGCGTGCTTTGCTGCATGCTAGAGTGTTGCCTGGTGCCCCTGCGCGTGCGCCGCGCTCCGCTGCTCTCACCCCCTTACTGCAGGCGCTGCATCTCCAGGTCACGCGCCCGCTGCTCGGGTTGGGGGTGCGCTCCCAGCCCCAGCGGCGCGCATGTTGCGGCGACCTGGCAGCCCTAGTCCGGGGGCCCCGTATGGGGTGGCCCCATGCGGGAGGCTTTGCTTTCAGGAGCACCCCTCTGGGGGAAGCCACTGGGCGGGTCTCCTGTGGCACCATCCATGGTGGTGGCCACGCCGCTACCTTCGCCAATGCGAGGGGGTTGGGCTGCGCCGCACGCAACGTTACCTGTACCGTTGCTTGCGGGCCGCATGTTTTTTGGGGCCCGAGCAGCACACCTCCGCGCGGTGGGCCCTGGCACTGGCTGCGGGCTTGCGTCCCAGCTACCAGGATGCTGCAACTGAGCAGGGGACTACCCTCATGCGCATGTTCAACCTAGCTGCATGCCCAACACGTTGTGATGTAACATTTCTGGCCATTGGGCTGCCGAGGAGTGCATGTCATCCTCATGCAAGGTGTCCAAGTCATTTGAATCCCATGAAAGTTGGCAATTTGGATTGCAGCACAGTCATTCCAGACGTTCCACGTCGGAAACATATGGGACCTGGTTGCAGTGACCAGGCCCAGGTTGCTGCGGGTTGCCGCCGGTTGCAGCCGGGGTTGCGCGCACGCAACCCTGGCACCGTCGCCGTGACCAGGCGACGGGTTGCAGGTTGCTGCCAACCTGGCCTGCGG